CCTCGGGAAGGTTTGTGCGGGGCTAGCTCGGGCGGGAGGTGAGGTGTGGCCAAACCTGGCCCCTCAGGGCTGCTGGGGACGCCGGGCAGGGCGGAAGGTCCCCGGCGGGCGGGCGGGAGAGTCGATTCCCATCCGAGGGGCTGGGGGAAGGGGGTCGTAATGCCTTTTGCGCGAGGGTGGATGTTAAATTCTGCCCGAAGACCCCTGCGCCCACCGGAGAGGGAGGTAATGAGATTCATGCGGTAAATGAGTTTCCTCGTTTCAGGTGAGCGAGGCCCGAGCGCCTGGGCTCGGAAGCTTCGCAAGCAGCAGTGCGAAGCGTCCTAGGCGGTGTGCGTTTGCTGTGGATGGAGGTGAACCTCGGCCTCGGACCCGCGGCCGGAAAGGTCAGCATTGCCAAGAAGGGTATGACTTAATTCCTGGTTGGAAGATGGTTTTTATTTGCTGGAATCATAGCAACTAAAATTGAAAGTAATAGGTTAGGCCGTGTTGTCCTCCCACTGCAGCTGAGGCCAGATTGCTCCCCGCCGTCTGTTTTGTCTAAAGTGTCATTTGTCCGGTAAAAATTTAACAACCTAAGCCATGGGGCTGCTGGCAGTGCTGTCACTAAGCTATCGCTCACTGGATTTCTGAGCAATGTATTGGCAGCAGTTCTTGGCAGAACGGTGGCCCATGTAAGAAATATCTCGGTAATGGGAAGTCTAAGGAGTATAAATGAGAGTTCACATTTTATAAACTAGTTACTGGAAAATTAACATTTATTCTTTTCCTCCTTGACTTTAACCTACTTCCATTTTGTGTGTGTAACACCGGTGCTTAATTATAGTGACACCCGTTTGCAGTAACCAGACTGTGTCACAGTGTCCCTATGGGGTCCTTCTAATGCCACTGTAATATTAAAGTGTCAGGCAGGCGGTCTGTGTATTATAAATAGGGTACTTCATCCATGATAAGCGATTATTATCTTTCTTTCCCAAGTGTAAAAGACCTATATAACTCAACAAGGTGCGAGTGATTTAGGCCTCCTGAGTAAAAATCCAATGAGTCCTGAAGGGGACCCTATGATGTCGTTGTCTTGTTGCTGAACTTCAGATATTCAATTTATTATACTGGAATATATTTTCTGAAGTCAACATTGGGTAAAATAATATGGGAGGCTGTTAGACCAACAGTACAACACGATTTAGTGTCCCTCTGTGATGGCCTTCTAAAAACTTTAATCACCCTTGGTAAAAGCAGAAAGCTGCTGTTAAAGTTTACTGGCCATTGGTGAGTGAACAGTATTAGTTACTGCTTTGAATCATTTTAGTAATTTAGAAAAAATGCACTTAATATTTTTTTCCGTTCATTTACAATTATATGGGTAGTTGTCTTGTACTTAAAAGGCCTAAGTTTTGTGAAGTTTTATGCACATTCTTAGCTTCAGACTTATTTATTTCTATTAATTATATTTAGATAACTATTAAAAGTAGAATTGTGTGCTTAACTTCACATACTTGAAGGATTAAGGGTTACAATTTTGACCAATTTTACTATTAGCCATATGTTTTATTGAGTTATAACTGTAAAAACAGAAAACAAAAGCCCATTCTGGTACAGATTGGCACCAGAAAAAAAGATGTAATCAATTTCATAATTGTTATATCACTTTTTTAACACTTAACGTTATATGGTGTTTATGACGTTACACACTGTTTCCGCTGAAGCTGTGTAAAGCTACCCAGTTTTCCAGCTAAATCAGTCTTGGAAATATGAAAGTTGACTTTTGAGTGAGGGAGGAAATCCCGACAGCTATGCAGTTCAATATAAACATGCTCACATGTAGTTTTCACTGGAGGACAAAGGGGGCTTCTACTCTGCTGTTAACACCAAGAAATATAATAGAGAATCTGACGTGACATGAGTTAGTCATGATCATGCAGCCACAGAGCTCTCTCCAATGCGATAAGCGCTGCATCCATTCTTGATAATATTTATTTTGTTACTGTTGTTTGGTGAAAAAGTCTTTTAAATAATTCTGTGCCTCTCACACCTGTGGCCGTGTTTAAATTGGCATTTTCTTTTTTTTTTTCCTAAAAACACTCCACCTTGCTACTGCTGGTGAACTGTAGCAACAATGAGAGTGGCACTGGGAGCAAAACAGTGGTAGGTATGGTATGTTCATTAATTTACCATTGTGACAAATCATGCTAGGCATAGACAGTGGTAGTAAAGTCATCAGAGCCAACAAGTGTGCTTCTGTACAAATTCTCCCATTGTTCTGTCATTAGGAGAATTTAGCTAACGTGGCAAGAGTAGAAATTCTAGTGGAAACGTGTAGTAAGGACAAATCCTAATGGTTTATTTATAAACATGGATAGCAATGGTTTGTATCACAGATAACTTGAAAATTTGTTTTTATGCTTCCAAACAGCATGACTAATTGTTAATTAATTGTGATATCAAATGTCTGAAATTAAAATAAAATACAATAAAATGAAACTTTTTTGTGCCAGTAAAGAATAAATTGTGACTAGTAAGTAGAGCTCAAGTTATTTTTGTTCGTGGATCTCATGGTGCTTACCTAACAAGTGTGGATAAATATTCCCATTCCAGATTTAGAGAATGGAAAACATACAACCTAGATATTAGGATAATTTGTGCTAGCCTGTGTTTCAGAGGACAAAACAGAGACATTATTAAACAGGCAAGATAGTAACAAATTCTAACTGTAATTGTATTTTTCACAGAATGGCCAGCAGTCCTGAGAATAACGCATCCCTCTCCATTGAGAAAGTCGCGCACCCAGAAGGTTCCCAAGCAAAGAAGTCCCAGCATGCAGAAGAAGCAATCTTTTACAAGAACTGCCGAGCAGCTTATCTAACTGTTTTAAAAAGCAGTTTAGAAAATATTAAATCAAAAGAACAACTCAGTTTAGGTAATGATTAGATATTTTTTCCCCATAACTATCGTGTGTGATGATTACAGTGGGTGGTTTACAAACAGCAGTCAGCAACTCAGTAGTGAGAGTATCCCTATGCATAAACTCGGTAACTGTTTTAAGGAATTTACAGTAGTTTTAGACAGGGTTCAGATTTCACGTGTTGGCGGCTGTATCTTTGAAGACATTTTCATCATTTGCCTGTTATAAAATATGTCACATAGTGATTTTTCAAAGTTTATAGAAACTACTGTTCCTTGAAGTTTTTAATTTTCCTCAAATCCTTAATCCTTGTGGCTGGGTGTTAGATGACTTGTGGAAGTGGGAATAGTATACAGAGCTTTTAATCTGTAAATCACCAGTATGAACGGGCAAAAGTTGATACTAGCTGACAGCTTACAGGGGACCCAAGTGAGTTGTTTAACACCACCAAATTTGATGGTAGTATTGTTGCTTACTTGAGGTGGGCCTAGGTACTGCTTTTTGATTGTAACATTTCTGCAGTAAATTTTTCCCTATCCCTGACAAATGATTAAGTGAGTTAGTCTCAGTTCAGTTTATAGTGGGCAATTGCCCTGGAACCGAAAATCGGTAACTGGCATTAATTGGCACAGAGGTTTGCAGACTCATAGGAGAGGTTGTTACTGGAGGCATGGATATGGTAATTTATCCCTAAAGATAGTCTCACAGATCAGTTCTAAGCCACTTTGACTAATATGTGAAAATACTGCCTTTCCTCTACCAACTGTATGTGATCAAATGGACTGTTTCAGACACTGGTGTTTCTTAAGAATTCTACTCTTATTTTATTTAAACTCCTACTGAATTACAATGTTCCCATAGACTAAAATCAAAAGTTTTCATTTTTTCATCCATATTATATTTGTGTATAAGTGGTATTGCTGTCAGCAGTACAACAGGAAAAAGACATCTCTGAATGCTTCAGCTGTACTAAATAAAGGTATTAATGGATACTGAAAGCTGTGGAGCTTAACAACATTTATTTTGAAAACCTATGGAATTTCAAAGTTCCTTGCATGGAATTATTATGAAAGTTACAAAAGTTTACCTGAAAAATGGTAGTTAGGGCTGTGTATTGGAAATTGATTTCTTTATAATATACCTTATTGACTGAGTAAGATAAGGAAGGAGTAAGATAAGACTGAGTAATAACCTGTTTCAGTTGTGAAATAGGTTTCATTATCCCAGATAAAATTTCTCAAGCAAATATAGTAGCAACTTTGCTATCTCTTGGAGTTATAGGATTGTGTACTATGTCTTACCATGTTTGGGGTTTGGTGGGTTTTTTTTCTTACTTTCTTACAGCACTTTTGTCCTTTCATGAAAAAGTTTAATCGTGGTTGTATGTAATAGCATGGGATTGTGTTAGGAAATGCATTGAAGTGTCTTTCAGTCCTATTTTCTACCTGGAGTTTTGGGATGTGAAAATCTTGGCTTGCTTTATTGGAAAAAATGTTTCCAGCTCACATGGTTGACAAAGCATGAGAACATAAACCTTCAGTTAGATAAAGAGAACTGAAATGTAGTATTAAAAAACTAATTTTTTTTGTGTGCATTTTGGGGTACAGTTTAGAATGCACTTGGGATCGGTGGTGGTACACGTTGCTTTCTCAGGTCCTCCTCACAGATTATGATACCAGTAAAAGGTATGTGTATTATGGCATCGCAGTTGTTGGTAATAAAAAAACCCAGGCAATGGCTAAAGGTGAAAATGTGCTAAGCTATCAAATAATTTAGTTATATCATAATTCTAGTGACTATATTTTTTTTTGCATATGTGAGGAAATATTTCTCCCTAAGGGCTGCATTGCCTGTGCCTAAAATACATGAGGTCTCCACATGGAAACCACCACTATAAAAGCTGAGCGTACTTCTCTGTTGTACGGATTGTTTGTAGCTTCTTTCCCTGTACCAGTACATGAAATTCTACCCGTTAGCGAGCACATTCTTTCAGCATGTGACTTAGCGTTATCCAGGCTTTCTCAGCTGTAATAAAAGTGCCTTTATAACATCCTAATGATAGTTTTGGATAATCTGGATTTTAAGATAGGAGTGGTGTGAACAAATGTAATCTCTTTTATATATGCTTTGGCTTTCATCTCTGTCCATATGCCACTTTGCTACATAGCAAGTGTTTGGGCATTTTGGTTTCAAGGTCAACTCAGAAAGGGCGATTAGCTGCTCAGGCTCCCAGTCTTTTCAGAGATATTTAAGAACTTTTAAAATTTGTAAGTATTGAGAGTTACAGACTTATGTTGCATCTTAAGTAAATTCTGGCATTTATCAAATGAGTGGTGCCAGTGTTGAAGCACCTCTTGCTATATGATGTTTGGCTAATATTCTAAACTGTGAAATAATCACTTAGAGATTAGCCCTGTGAAATTTTATTCATAGGAGTTTTACTTACGGATAGTAGCTTCATTTCCTGTGGTGTAATATTACTTAAGGTATTTAGCAGAAACAGTCTGTAAAGAAGTATAAATAAAAGGTGCAGTCTAATTGAACTTTCAAAAATACAAACTTGGGAGGCATGTAGGGTATGGTAAGCGCTGATCTCCCAGGATATATAAAAATACAGAATTGCCATATATTTGAAGGATACTCTGTTAAATGTAAGTGAATACTGTGCAATATTGACATTCCAGGGAACTGGGCTATCCACGTAAACAAATACAAAGAGTAACTGCCCTTCCTTGGCTGACCTTGACATTGAAATCCTTAACAATTGCTATGTGCCCAAGCACTGCATGGATAAAGATATAAGCTTTGCTGTATTCTCCTGACTCCACTTGTAGAGGTGACAGGGCAGAAATCTTTATTTAGTCCTTGGCATTCAATTGGAGATTAGCAACAAAGGTGTCTGGTTTTGTTTGTTTGTTTTTATGGTGACACAGTTGCCTACTGAGAATTGTAACAATACCACTACCTCATTTCACAGATGCTACTGAACTGCTTTCAGCTGGTATAGACTTGGTCAGTTGGCTAAAAATCAAACTGTCAGCCTAGGTAAAGATGAAGGATCTTTTGTGTTTCCCCAAAAACCTTGATTATATGGGAGGATATAAAAGCATCTCTCCAGTTTCAGATAGACCGTGCATTAGAATCTAATTTCAGTTTAATGCCTTCTCATACTGGAAACTGATGAAAGGATGTTTTCAGTAAAGACTTTTAAGAAGGTAACTAGCTCTGGCAAATTAATTTTGAAGAATGCCAGGTGTAGGTGGGACTGTTTGCATGTGTGGTATTGGCTGTTGGCCTTAGCAATGTATGTCTGTTGGTACCATATTTCCTTTACATTTGAAATTCATGTTGCACAACTTGAATTGATAAGTTCAAATGTATAGATGTGACATAAAAGATTGTTTAAGATAAATTCTACACTAGATCTCAGTTCTTTGCAAAGTAAATGGAAAGACTTATGTGGATCTCAGTAGAAATAGGATCTAATAATGTGCAAGCTTACAAGTAATAGGTTTTTGATATTAAGGCAGGGGATACAGACACTGGGCTGAATTTTACACTTGTCACTTGAGGAGAGTGTCTTTGAATTTATGGATATTTTGCTTAATTAATGATTTGAACCTGTTACCTTTATTTAAGGGAGACATCCCGTTTAGTAGGACAGTGCACATGAGTAAGTGGTAGCTTTAAGCAAAATGTTTCCTGTGATATTGTTGTGCTACAAAAAGTCACAGGCTGCTCTCTGGTTTCTTCCTTTTTCTGTAGAAGAAAGTGGGCGTGATTCTCAGCAGTGCGGCATATATCATCTCTGTGCTGGATCATAGTTCGCGAGGGATGATCTAGGATGTCAGGCACTGCCTGTTCCATGAGTCCTTTCAAAAGAATATGTGAGTGAGCTCATCTGCTCTCAGGCTGCTTGAACCTCTCTGGTACAAAGGTCACAATCAGTCTGTATCAGTAACGTACAGGATTGAGACTATAAGCAAAACTGTCCTGCTTTTCCCTTGGATTGATTTGGCTTTAAAAAAAAAAAAGTCTGAACATGGAAAGTGAGTAAAGGACGTTTTAAGAAAACTCCCTTATTGATGGCTGAAATATAGAGTTAATATTGTGTTTTATTGTTTCAGTACTTCAACAGGCTGGAAGAAATCCATCTCAGAAGACAGTTAATAAATATTGGACTTCAGAAACGACCACACTGAATTTTGATGATTTTTGTACTATTTTAAAAAAAGAAAAACCACCTACAAAAACTGAACTGCTCGAAGCATTTGGAAAAATAGACACAGATAACACTGGATATATTTTACATGATGAACTTTATAAAATTCTTACAACAGTAAGTATCAGTAGAAACTTTAACCATTAATAGAGATTTTGGAAATTAGACAGTAAAACTATTCTGAATGTGTAAACACATATTCCTGATCAAAAGAATCAATAACTGTTTCATGGGTTTTTTTGGGTTTTTTGGGTTTTTTTTTCAATTTTATGTCTAATTTTCTGTGGTTATCTGATCTTTCTTCCATTTTTCCTCCTTACAGTCTTGCAGTTAATAACCTGTCTGTCTCTTTCAGCAATTTTGCCTTGAAGGTGGAAGCTGGGAGAAAAAATATTTTTCATACTTTCACAGAACGCTTTGTTGAAACCCTATCTATACTGCAGTGGAGCATCAGAAAGGGAAGCATGTCTCTCCCTTGGTTCAGTTAGTGCAAATCCCTCTATTCTCTACAGCGTTTTGGTTTTATGAACTTTTACCAAAAGAATTAATGACACACCTTTGCTGTTCTCCCCTTACAAGCTGTTGCCTATGTATGTTCAGATGCCAAGTTAAAAAATAATATTTTTATGTTATACATAAAATATTAAGGTCAGTGCTTTAGTTTTGCCATAGCTATGATGTTCTGTCATGCCAGTGACTTCACTGGAACTTAAGTTAGTTCACTGGAGTCTTAAAGGAAAGTGTGCTAGGGTAAGTCAGTATTTTGGTTTGGGATTATGCGTTATCAAGCTAAAGCATGCAAACGTCATAAGGCTTACCTGTACAAATCATTAATATGGATTAAAATAATGACATTAAAAAATATCTGGAACTTCTTATTTAGCTGCTGAAATGCTACCATATTTTTAGGTTTCATTGTATAATCTGCAAAGGATAGAAAAGAATTTTTTAAAAATAGCAGCTGAGATTTTTATGATGATATGAGATTGTAGGAGATGGAACTTTAACGAAAACATTAGCAAGAGTATGTTAGAATGATGAGTGTTGACAAGGTTAAAATCCAGGTCCTCTGAGGATCTGCAAAGCAGGCAAACAAACCCCTGGAACAGAACAGTCTTCCAAGCTGGTGTAGAGCGGATGCCCTGACTTTAAACTACGTAGATGTACATCACAGATGATTACGATGATATGTTCTGTCAGGTTTTTTGCTCTGTAAAGAAAAAAAAAAACCCCACCCTCCATTGTAAAAGCCAATCATCTTGCACAGCACAAACACTAGGGAACAGTAACAATTAAAAATGGACTAGTAGAAGAATTCTAGTAGAGTGCTCAAAAGTGAGAATAAAACAATTTTAAGGAAATGTAGAGGAGAGCAAACTGAGACAGAAGGGACAAACAATTTACATACTATATCTGTTGTGGCTGACCCAATAAAACAAAATTATTTGTTTACTTCAAACGTTGTGGCAGAACCTTCAATCCTCATTCTGCATGAACAAAAAGGTGTAGTTGCAATGGTAAGGAAATAGTCTCTGTATAATGAAAGAAGTAACAAATGTTGAGTGCTACTGTAGTCATGCCATGAAGAGCTATAAACTCTGTATTGTTACATAAAGTCAGGGCATTGCTTCATATCGACCCAGACTGAAGAACTTACTAGATGTGCTTGCAGTAGCAACTGGTGCTGTTCAAAGAGGGGAGGATCAGGATTTGATTTGTTGCAATCCACTATGGCTCTGGGACCATATGTTTGCATCATATGTTTACCAACAATGGAGTTCGCATTAGTTTTCAGTCCCAAGTTTACACCATGAATCTGTAGCTGAAAAGTGATGTGAAGTAGATTTCTGTACAGCAATCATATATTGCTCTGTCACTGCTAACAGCCCCGCGAATTTACGTAGAGGAAATTGCTAGAGGACCTTGTGGAAGACATGGTTTCTTCCTGAGATGTACCTTGTGTCCACATTGCAAGTGGGGTACTCAAGATGGTATTCTGACATGCAACTTCAGACTTGGTTCCAAAAGGAGAGAAATTGCTTTGGCTTCATACTAATGATTCCAAGTAGAAATAGGTGCAAGGCAAATTCATGCTTGGAATAACCCTTCTAGTGAATTAAATTGCAGATGTAGGCTGAGACTGGTATAATAGGATAGCTCAAGTAAATAAGTGAAACTAACCATTATGAAGTTTAGCTCTTGGTTGTTAGCATGCTACAATATAAGTAAGAGTGACTGAGAGCTGGGATTCCCCAGTTTATGGAAGATTTTCTGAAATTGATGTGTCATTCATGGTAGGTTTCCAGAAGACACCACAAAATTGTATAAACTGATGCAATTCATCTGTTCAGTATTTAGTAGCATTGTAGGGACATAATTTTTTACGATGTTGACTTCTATTTCATTGATTCAAATCAAAATCCATTTAAATCTATTGCAAGATAGGATTCCCTGAAAGGGTATTAAAAGAGTCTTTCTTTGTATTTCTATTAAATATGCGTTGTAGGTGAACAGCATTCTTGATTAGGAGACCAAACTGAGTTGGTTTTTTTGTTTTGTTTTGTTTTGTTTTATTGCAGAGAGGTGAAAAAATGACTCAGGATGAAGTGAGTACCATTATTAAACAAGCTGATTTTAACGGCAGTGGCAAACTTGACTACAACAAGGTATGGCAAACAGTGATATTATTTGTTCCTGTGCTACTGGCTTGATGTTATTGATAGTATTAGCATTATCAAACACAATACATACCATCTCCATGTGTTGGTCTATCGATGACCTTACCCCAAGCCCCTGCAACTGCCTACATACTGGAACATGGGCTGTTTCACTCACTTTATCTGGCTATTATCCTCAAAAGGTCACTTGCTGCAAGTGAACTTCATGTATTAGGCACATCCTAATAGTAAGCACAAAGCTTAACAGCATGTGTGAAGGTAAGAGTTAAAGGAATGGCAGAATAAAGATAACAATTGACAGCAAACTTAACTAATCAGTGAGAGTTGCTATGTCTGTGACATTTCATAATTTCTTGTGTGGGGGACATTATTGCATATGTTAAATGTCTTATTTTAAAGATGCAATGTCTTACCGGTTTTTTCTAACATCATCTCTAAGCAATGACTAAGTTTTGAACTGAATAAACAGTCCACAAAGTTTTCTACATAAATATAGTTTCATAGGAGAAAAACAACCCCCTATTAAGCATCCTATGTTAAAAAAAAAAAATCGGTCTCCAAATATGTAGAAAGAAGTATAAATCACATCTTGGGTTGAAAGTCACACTTAATTTTTATTCAATATTTGGACCTCCTTATTGAATCATGGCTTCATTTTACTCTGTCACTTGAGTGGTCACTCTGGTTCATGAAAATTAAAATTAATATTGTGCTTTAAGAGAAAATGCATTACATCTATTGACCTTTCCTTACTAATGTTACATTTTAATCCTTAAAACTGTGAGAAAGAATGTTTTGCTTAACAGATTACTTTTCTTTATCTAAAGTTTTGCGACTTATACATAGCAACCAGTGAGCAGTGCTGCAAGACTGCACGAGAGAAACTGGAAGTTGATAGTCGATTGAGGCAGCAGCAGTTTGGAAGTCAAACTGAAACTTCCTCTGAAGGGATCACAGTGTCAAAACCATCACCAAGAGTCTCGAGGAAAACTGATCACAAATTAGCACCAACAAAAGGTATTTATATTTCATATTGGGAATTTTCATTCTGTTGGAGATCATGCTCTGGGTCAATGAACAGTTGAATACCTGTTTAATTTTTCTCAGATTAGTAAGGATGCTATTGACTAATATTAATTTCTTCTATGGCAATTGCATAAATGTCTCAGTGGAATATCTGACCCCCATGTTCAAATGGACTTTGGCTGCATCTATGATCTGAAGCTCTGAAATTCTTAAGGGTGAATTTCATTGACTCTTGTGTGACACTCTCATGTGACCAGAGGGAAGAGAGAAAATGAATACTCAGATGTTGCAACATAGGCAAGTTATTTATTTCCTTCCCACATCAGAGATGAAACTTTAAACTTTCATCAATAAGCAGTCTGTTTGTTTCAATTATCGAGGCCACTTTTCAAGCACAGTCAATATGAGAGTTTAATGTCCTTCCTGAAGTTACAAAGATACTTAAAAACTTTCCCAAACTGGAAAAAGACCACAGGCTAACAGACTGCAAAGGTACCGTGTATGAAATACTTGCATTTGTATGTAGTATGCGCTGTTTAAGTTGCTTCAGTTCTAGGCAATACTGAAGAGGTACAAAGATGATGGAACAGTGATGAAGGCTGAGTTCATGTAGCTAAATCAACAGTTGTATCAGCAGAGTTGCCTCAACGTCAGGAACCTGAAAGTAAAGGCTTGGAAGTAATTGTATTGGGCAGCTGTGCATAAGTGATGTGCTATCTGGCAAGAAGACTACGTTGTCCTGCAAAGAAAGAACTTTAAATTAGAAGCAGGTCAAACCTATCCACTTAGGACAGATTTACCTTGATTCCAAGGTAAATGCAATCATGTAGTAACAATTCCTTGTCCTTCAGGCAAATTTGGATTCTAAGGTTCTGCCATTCATACACCCATTCACCAGGGATGTACAGTCAGGGGAGTAAAGATGTTTGGCTAATGAATTATTAAATGTTATATAGTAATAAGGGAAGTCAGCTTATCTGATTGAAGCTCTTGTCATCCATTTTTTCTCTGTGTGCCTATAAATGTAAGGCTTTATGATAAATGGCACTAGGAGTCAGTTGAAATAATGTAATTGTAACTAAATATCTATGTTTATAGGTGATAGCAGAACTCCTTCAAGACCCTCATCAGCTCAAAGTTGCAAAGCATCCATTTCTACCACAATCAGCATGGGTGCCAGTAGCAACAGAAACACAAAGCTAATTGAGCCAGACACAATAAAGGTATCATGTAAGCTAGTCCTATTGAAATTATGCTGTTTTCCTCTAGGCACATATGTTATTGCATTTTAAATAAGAAACCGTTTTTCTCTGATTTTTAGCTTATGTTTTATTAATAGTTTGTCAAGGGCAGCTATAAACTAGTGAGAGGTTTCTTGATACGTATTATTATTAACATTTTTATATACTATTGGTTTTGCTGACATCTAGTTATTGAAAATAATTTTTCAGGTGTGAAGGTTTAATAGAACAAAGTGTGTTTTTTATAAATGAAACCACTGTTGGATAAAATGTTTAATGACTTTTTGAGAAATTTAAAATTTAATAATTTATTAGGTTGGTGAGAACTTTAAATGCTTTAGTAGTCTGAAAGATTGTGTATCATAAACCTTTATATGAAAGGTAATTGGAAATAAATAACAGATCCGTGAGCGTATTCAGTTTATTGGGCATTAATTTGTAAATATATGCTGTAGCCTGAAAATACTGATTTTCAGTTAGACTAATATGTTCTATCAGTATTTTCTTTTAAATAAATCACTCATTCAATATAAAATCCTGGGGGAGAAAGACAACAAAGTCACTTTGCTAAGTCAATATTTGTAGAGTGTTAATATTGATCTTTTTCCTTTGTTTTCCCTTTCTTGACTGAACCTTTACTAGTTTTCTTTCAACAGAAAATAATAGCTGTAGAAATATAAAACATTAACTGGAAACTGCTAGGATACATTAAAAATGTGCACCTTGAGACTCCTGTATAAAAGGGAAAAAATGGTTATGACCACATAGTATAACTGCTGCTAGAAAACTGAACTGATTGTTCTCATGAGTTACATTTTTGTTTCAAATAACAACTCTGTATTTGTTATTGAACTCTGAAGTCCTTTATATCTTCGACATTGCTATACAGTGACATTTGTTCTATATTAAAATTTAAAAACATAATCTCAAAGGAATTTTTTGCAGTCTGTTTAGGTATCTGGACCTCCATGCAATTTAACCTGCAATTTCACCTTGTTCAAACATGATATGTAGTATATAAAACCATCACAGAGTTTCCCAATATTGGATTCCTCTTTCTTTGTACAAGCTAGTAAGAACTGCCTGAAAAAGAGCAGATGCAGATATCGATTACTATTGATTAGCATCATATAAAAACTGAAATCAATCAATAAACATGAAAAGGTGTAAGTAGAACTACTAATTTTTTTTAACCCTAACTATTAAGGGCACAATGCAAACTCTTGTCAAAATTGATGAATAAATACACAGTGATTCATTTGGGCTGTGGATCAGAATCTAGCACACTGCAATTTCTCTTACTTCTATTCAGAATTGGGGCTTTTTTCTGCAGTTCACCTGTCTTTTTGGGACAGTAAGAAAATAGTGCCATCATGAAGTTGGACCAATGCCAACTTCAAATTTCTGACAGAAGAAAACCACAGAAGTCAAAACATGGTGAACATCTAAATTTAAAAACCCTTAGAAAACATGGAACGTATTCATAGTACATTCTTTCATGTGTTTTCTTTTTGTCACTGGAGTTTTGTGACATGTTCAAAGCCATGTAAATAATTCTGGGCAGAAAAAAATAGACAGTTACAGAAGTGCCACAGATGTACCTAAATAACATGCTGACCTGTTGGGCTTCAAATGTAGTTGAATCGCAATTAATTAAAGCATGGCTAATGGAGATTTTAAATGTCTGCAAAATATTCCTCTTGTCAGTTTTAGTCAAGACTGACAGACATTAGCAGAAAAAGAAAGCAATGTATCATGTTCTAAAATCTTCTCTCTGCGTTGGGTAGCGAAGTTATCCCTGCTAAGGATTCTCACCTTTGCATTCTGCTCTACTGAAGTCAGTGAAAGACCTGTACACACAGTGGGTAGCAAAAGAAATACCTGTGAAAAGGCCTTTTCCTGAAAGAAACAATTATATGCTCCCATTTGTATCAGTGAAGTAGCCTCATGCAGTTGAACTAGCAAGACTTTTTCTGTGCATATTGAACAGGTTTGTACAAGACAAAGCATGGAACTGAAGTTTTTTGCTTTAATCACAGGAATGATTCCTCTCACAAACTTTGCTTTTTATTTTGAATTATGCATGAGTGTGTGGACTATTCAATAATAACTTAAATTGTAACAGCAATAGAATGCATTATTTGGCCAGTGACCAGCACTGGCAGCAACAGGTAGTCCCTAACTTTTCTTTATGATTAACATTTTTAATACAAACATTTCCCACCGTGTTAGCTATTACTTGACAACTGTTGTTATGCATTAAAGTGACATACTAAAATCAAAACAGAAAAATCATCGTTTAGATTCCCAAGTTTACATACCTGTTTGTAATTTGACATGGATAATTTAAAGAATATAGCACCACCTTACGCCCTCTGCAAGAATAACAGTTTAGTATTTGATTCCTAGAGCATTGTCAAGCTTTAGCTTACTGTTGCTCACATCTTAACCTGCACATTGTTCGTTGAGATACTTCCCCTGCTTGCTTGGATTGTTTGGTGTCCCTGTTGTAACAATGTCCATCTGAATGCAAAACTGCAAAAAAGGTAGTCTTTCATCTGAAATAACAGCTAGAAAAATGTAAGGTAAACAAACAGGACAAAGCTACCCTCCATAGACTATCTGTGAGATGATGAAGACCACCGCCATAGTGAGAAAGGGGGAATAGAATGTCGTTGTTACAGTAATTTTTGTACATGAAAATTGTATCTTTTTGACTAGTTATAGCATATTTGAACTGCTGTTTAAACATATATTGTGGTCTTCTATGTCTCAAAATACCCATGTTGCTTCATTAGCAGACTTTTTGACTTGGATCTTTTTGAAATGCTGTTAATTTTTCCAACAGTTTTGTAAGGTATTAAACTGGTTGTCAGCTCATTTAGTCTCTAAGCTATCTCAGCTGTGTCCAGTTTTAACGAAAAATCTCAATTTACTGCATAAGGACTTTAGATAAAGTTAGGAGTCATGCAAGTATTGGAATAAACAGTTTACTGGGAATGGAATAGTACTAGAATAATTTAACAGAGTAAGCTACATACTAGATTTCTAGCACTAACTTATGTTGACTGTAATGTTAATATCAACTCCCATTATCTACTTGTTTGACTGAGAGAACCCTATCTTTTGCTCAACCTTTAACCCTCACCATTAAGTCCCAGTAACTTTCTGTCCTTGTTCTCTTCTTTGCTAATTATTCTTTGTGATTGGACCCCTTTTGCTTATCCTGTCACTAGAAATCTAGTTTTCATGGATAAAGATTGGTATAAAATTTTTAGGTGGCCTTGTTAATTAGGTCTATACTGCTACAGAAAAGGTGGCCAGGGACTGATCTCTGGCTCTGGACCAAGTAGCATAGGTAGCTGCACTTCCACAAGGCTTAGGCCTAGCACCCTCTCAAGCAGATTGTGTCCACTTTAAATGGCACTTAGCTTGCTTTTTTTTTCCTAGAACCCATGTGGCAGTGTTGTGGGTTTAAGAAATTATATTTTCCAGTGCCATTCATAATCTTATGTCTCTGCATCCCAACCAAGAACACATGTTACAAGCTGTGGGGTAGTTCATGGCACGGAGGGTGCAAGGTTGTAAAACCTGATCGGATGACGTTGACTGTGTAGGTGACAGAAAGCCAATCGAGTGTAGTTACATCCATATTCCTTTTTGAAAGTGGTGCCTGAAGTGAAAAATCCTTTGAACTGTGTACGCATTTTCTTGAAGAGCGCTAGTTGTAGTTATCTGAAGCAGAGCCACGGAGTGAGCTAACAGCTAAACAGTATGGATGATAGGGTGTTGAACGCTTCACCTTCGTTCTTGCTGTCTTTTATTTCTCAGTGTAGATGTAGCTGGTGACATGAGATCACTGTTGCTCTAACAGCATGCTGTTTCCTCTGCATCTCTGATGGCAGAGAAGATAGGTTTCCATGAAGGTCCTGGATTCAACATGTTGTCTTAACTTGAAAAGATTATGGGAGTGGAGGGACTTGGATATTAGTTTCCATATTGGATGTCCCACTTTTACATATCTTTTAGATAGCTTAATTGATCTTTGTCTTGATAGCCTGTGCTCTGAGAAAGTATGTTCACTTTTAAAGTCTCTTAGAACTTCTTTAGCAAAGTCTTAATTTTCTTTAAAAATCCCAAACCTCCAAAGAAAAGCAGAAAGTGAGTTGCAAAGTATATAGTATTCGTTCTTAAAAGTATTCCATATGGTCAGCTGTATGCAAATATAATTAGCAGAATTTGACATCTCAAATTGGTATGATGCATTACGCTACCAAAACTATTGGGGTACTGAGGGATGAAACAATTGTTGCTTTTAGATCAACATCTTGGATGGGACAGGGTAGTCTTACCATAATAATAATTAGTTTGAGACTAAGATAGTTTCCAGCTATATAAAATTTGGAATTCTCAGTATTTATCCACATTGATGTTTTGAGGATGATATATATTTATTCCTTTTGTGTGAAGATTCTTTTCATAGCTGAGTTTGTGCTATTTGGCACTGATAAGAGTGATTCAGGGGCAGAAAATGAAGTGAGACATAGTATTATCTGCAGTCTTTCTATGCCAACATAGGTGGTGAATTTGCTCAAAGTACATCTCTTTGTTGTGATTAATTTATAAAAAGTTCTTAAAGCAGAAAGGAGTATAATGAAGATGAATTTGGTAATGTTTGAATGAGAAATGCTTAGTATAGAGTTGATCCTGTTCCCAGAGAAATCAGTGGCAAAACTGTGTCACAGGACTGAAGGCTTTTAAATCCATGAATCTCCGAGTAATTTATATTCTTAAGAAATTTAGAGTTCTGAATGGAGAAATCTAAATTCAGGATCAGTGCCACATGTCACCAAGTGTGTTACTTGGCATCCTGGGTGTACACACATAGCAAAGTCCAGCTCTTGTCTGACACCTTTAGGTCATTGACTGTAAAGTACCATCAACTGAGTGTGAATGCATTGTAATGAGAACTGGTTCTTTAAGAGGAGAAATGAAATGTAGCATTCTGATGAAGACTGACCTTAGATGGAGTTAGTAGTCAGCCTCCTTACTGGAGGCTTGCAGTGCAGGCCTTTTTTTTTAATACAAGCTCTGTACAAGTGACTAGAAATCTTGGGCTTAATCTAGACCAGGGAAGGCAAATCGAGAATGTCTTCCATTCCTCTAGGCATACACTATGTCTATAAGGACTTTATTTTTATTTTTCTAAAAATATATCATTCAAATGATATTTGAAATTGAAAATTGGGACCTGCTGTTTAAAAACAAAAAAAATTTGAAGCATGTAGTTGTTTTAGCATCTTGGCAAAGTCATGGCTTCTTTAGGAACCATATTATTCACAAATACAGCAGTTTTCAGTTTATGTCTTTCCAATAGCTTTGACAGAAGTCAAGAAGAACCACTTAATTTGACCGGTATTTGTGTTTGTGATTTGTCTGAGCAAATAACTCCTCATTCTTCAGCTAATCAATTATGTTCTTTGCTTGAATGGCCTGATGGAACTAATGTAGCAAAATTCCAGCCTTTCAGTGGTAAATCACACAGTTCAGAGAATTTCATGAGTTCAGTTTGATTCTTCATGGCAATTCAAATTTCATTTCAACTATTTGAGCACTGGGGTAATCTGTATGTTTTTCAAGCATTTTCACAAGTGAAGCTCTGCAAAAATTGACTACAAAAAGGACTATTTGGGAAAATTCATTTTAAAAAAAAAGGAGTAGATGATCAGTACTGTCTCTTGTGGTGTATTTTATGCAGGATTTATTAAATCATCAAACTAATATATTTCAGAGAAGGTGCTTTTATCTTGATCAAAGATCAAGGTAACATCTAATATTTGCTTGGTTTCCAGGAATGGCAGTGTGCACAATCCAAAGGATGCTTCTACTTGGAAGAAGATGGTGAAATCATTAGTCATAAGTACAAGTTGCACTTACCCCAAAGGTCTACAGTATGTATTGCCATCAAGCCTTTAAATGTTCGCCAGGTAGAAGGTAAGTGTCTTTGTATTCTTTGGAGAGTTTTCCTCTATAAAAAATATTTTCTTTTCTGCTGATATATCTCTCCTTTCTCACTCACAATACTTTGCAATATTGCAATATAGCAATACTTTTCTCTGTTGACAGAGTCCTATTAAAAATATAATTTAACTTGTCACACCATATTTTCTGCTTAGTCATTTTGTGCTCACTGCTTGGGCAGTGAAAATCAGCTAAGTCCATTATCTAGTCAGCCAACCTCTTAGATTATTTTTGGCCATAGATTTGTGAAGTTTCTTATTACAAAATTCAAATGTTAGCACTGTTTGCAGTATCTCTCTTTAAGGTGTTAATGTACTTTGTGGGAAACAATACAAAACTTAGTGAATGTGGTATTATCCACCTCAAATACTTTTGTAAATACTTGAAGTAGGTTCTGGGGTTTTTTTTTATGGCAGTACGGTATCTTGATGTTTTGATTTTGAATCTTGTCTGAGGGATTTATAGCTTAGTTTGCTTATTTTAATTTTCATCTTAAGAGTGAAGCCCAGCATTAGAGCCACCTGAGATTAGTCAGCCTTTGTACTCTTTTTTTTCTAAATGCTATTGCCTTTGTTCTCTCCAGTGATTAACCAAGGAACTTTATCTAGTTGCTACGTTGGAATTATTTTTTTCCCAAGTAGATTATTTCCTCTTTAATCCTGTGAAACAGGAGCCATTAGATCCCAAAGATGTTTTAGTCATCTGGACTGGCTGTTGTGCTACAGGTTGGTAATTGATTCTGATTGAGGTTGGTAATAAAAACTTCACTGCAAATAATTGACAGAAAGTAGTAATTTTCCAATTACTACCTGGTTGAAAATGGGAAGCTGATCAACAGACTTCTAATGGTGAGGAAACGTGGTCTGATACTAACAGATTTGAGTAACAGAACGCCTCAGTGTTCTGCTCTTAATTTCTCTTTTTTTCATGTGGCACCCGCTTAAACTGTGCCTTGGAGTAGTTCTGCTGCAGGATTGTCCAGACATTCTGTGTAACCGAAAGAGTACTTACTTGTCTTTCGTTAAAAAATACTACTTTTGCACAACATTATTGTCCTGTATATAGAAATATCTTTGTGTTTTGTTGTGAAGAGGGAGGCATAATACTAGTATGTAAGGAAAGGATTCATGTTAGAGCAATTACCTTTTACTAAGAAATCAAAACTATCTTCACACTTTTAACAAAGTGTGTAGCCACTCTTTAGTATTCTTGACTCCTAACTGTAGAAAAACCTAAGCCCCTGCATTAATTCTTTTGCTGTGGTCTGGTTAACTTGAGGACCACTAAATAACTCACTGATTGATTGCCCTCAGGAACTGAGCAGCTACAAGAAATCAAAGAGGTTCAAATGGCAGCCATTCAGCATATGTAAGACCAGGCCTCCATTCCAATCCAACCTAAGACTAACAAAGAACAACTAGTGCTAGAGGGATCTTGCTATTTAAATCTTAAAAATAATTGAAACTTGTACTTCTGAGATTTACATTGTCTGATATCCCTAGCTTTGCACATAAGCTGGCTTTCCAGCTAAGGTGAGTTTAACAATATTTTACAGAACTTCAGAAGAGAATATGATATAACTTGGCTAACATCCTTAATTGCAAATATCTAGGACCCTTAGTATAAACAAAAGTAATAAATAATAATGTTGTACTAATGGTAGAAAACAATGAAAAATGGCTTCCTTAACTACCAAAGGTTTTAATATTAGAACTATTAATAGTAATCATTATCTGTAAGACAATCACAAGACTTGGAACAATTTATCTGATCGACCTAAATAGGAAGGAAAACCTGATAGCATATAGTGAATTCTTTTTCTCCATCTTACATTAACAGGGATCAATATTATAAATACCATGGAAATATCTACTTTGGGGTTCACAGAAAAACAATTTTGTGCCATTATTAAGCATTTGTGTTGGGAATGTTTTTCTTCTTAGGAAAATCTTGTCATTGGTTGTCAGTGGATACAGCTTTGTATATTCTGAAGGAAAATGAGACCCAAGAAAATTTACAGCTTGTGAGCTTTACTGAACAACAAAACAGAGAGGTTAGGTATCTTTGTTGTATTCCTATTTTAATTGTTGTATCTTTATGTGTTTATACTGCATGGGTGAGTTCCCAGTGTTTGGAAGGAATTAAAACTGTACTAAGGAGAGAAGAAACACTTGTTCTGTGCTTATTCCCTTTCAAAACTGACAGAACTCACACAAGGAAAGATGTAACACTGTCTTAGTTATGCCCTTTGGATGGGCTGAATTGCAAGCCACTTTTATAGAAGTTTAATGAAATTCCTGTGAGGACCATATTATCCTATAGCGTGTTGGCAAGTATTGCTGAGTTGCTGGTTATCTGTATAGATACTCTGTGGAAACTCACTTGTATTCCTGCACCTTCAGAAACAAAAGTTCAAAGGTAAAAATTGCTAAAATTTCCTTTAATTTTCTTTCTCCTTGCCATATATATGATTTTGAACTTCATAGTGCACAGAATATTCTTATCCTATGGCAGAAATAAGGGAGGAGAAATGGCAGCATTAAGTTACTTCCCCCTTCCAAGCCACATGGAACTTGGCTTGCTTCTTAAACCCTAAGTCACTTGTGACTTTTTACACAGGAAGTTTTTGTTGCTAGTTTGAACAAAGCTGATAAATCAGGGAGGAAATTAAAAACTCGGTGGATTTTGTCAGCCTGCTTCTGGCTGCTTTTGTTTCAAAGTTTGACAGTTAAAGAGTGTTCCAAATATGAAAAATGATAGAACAGTTATTAGACATTTCCAGTAATGACTGTTCTCCCCTCGTCTCTGGTCCTATACATTTTTCTAACTTTTATTATAACTAAGAGATTCACTCGTTTTTGTGTCTTTAAAATGGCATCACATAGCATCTCACTGTAGACATGTTTTCTTTAGGGAATTACCAGTGTTTTCCAGTAATTAATCAGCTTTGTATGAATAAGACTAGTAATAAATAAAGGTATCATTTGAGAAGTAACTTACAAACTTGTCTGTCTTCCTTTAAGAGTAGATGTTTGGATGGAAAGGGGAGCTTGGATCAGGCATTTACTGGCTACTCCCATTCACAACAGGCTGTAGGTTGAAGAAGGTAAAAACACAAATTACTGGTGAAGCCAAACTGGTGTATAGAGGTGAAGATGGAGAACTGGCTCTGACTAAAGAGTTCCGGTGAGTCATATTCCCAAATAGGCATGATAACTATTGCAAAAGTGTGTGCTCCAAATAACATCTAGCTTTGTGAAAGCTGTATGTTACTAAAATACTGTTTGTACAGAATATTCTCAAATAGACTGAAGAGTTATTGACAATATTATGAGAAGATAAAGGAAACAGAAGTATTTGGAAATAGTTCTGCCTTTTTAATCTTCTAGAGCCACTTTATTGGATATATTTGAAACAATTGATTTGGATGGAAATGGCCTTCTGAGTTTGGAGGAATACAATTTCTTTGAACTGAGAACTAGTGGTGAGAAATGTGATGAGGAAGCATGGGCTGTATGTAAGGGTAAGTTCGTTGCTCTGCTTGATACAACTAATTAGGGCTATCAATCTACTTGCAAGTTGTTGTTTATAGCATCCTACTATGTATATAGTATAGAAGAACTGAGCATTTTGTAGCCTATACCAAGAGCACTTGTAGATATTGTTCTCTCTTTGTTTTTCTTTTTTTCCAGTCTCCTGTCCTTTGTTTTGCTTCATTCTGGGTTGTGTGCCACTGGCCTTCTGCTGAAAAATTCTTCCCATTGCTAATTGCAGAGTTTTGTAGGTGAAAGATTTTTATAGCTGCCAGAAACTACAGCTTTTCTAATCATGGATCATATGGTGAATTAAGCTGTAACAGGCATTCATTTAATCAGTCTCCTTTCTGCAGATTAAGCTGATACTGCTTTCATATCTCACAAAGTGTTGAGAGGGATATTTAATTAGTGTGTATATGATGCTTTAAAAATGGCATCTAGAGCTTATGATGATTGTTTAGAAAATTAGTTATTAGAAAATTAGACATTAGAAAATGCCTATTGCAAGTATATATTTTCTTCAGATGTAAGCAGTTTTTCATTAAAAATGTCTTTTGAAGGTTCATATATGGTGTGTCAGTTTGTCCATATTGTGTTATGTGACAGCCATGAGATTCTGGGACTTCCGTGAGTGAGATGAGGAAGCTGACAGACAATTAAGACTCTTCCAGCTGTACTTTGTTTTCTGCCTGCTGATACATCTCATCAGCGTTACTGGATGTCTTGCCAGCTTGCAGGAGCAGTGTTAGGCCACAAATGTCAGTTCTGAAGAAAAAAGGAATTCTGTGGCATTGCTTTAAGCTTGCAAAGACCTTGAGAATGCACATATTTACCTCCTAACAGAGCTAGGAGAATACAACCCTCTGTGACTGTAGATTGCTCTAGTAATACAGGGCACGAAAGCAGTGGTTTCAAAGCATTGGCAGTTTAGCTACAGTGAATGAACAAACTGGAAATTTAGAAGCCATTGTATGAAATTTAGAAGTTTCTATAAGAAATACAGTTTTTCTGCAACTCCTGTCCAACATGCCAGTATGGCATATCGTTGTATGTCTGCCTATGTCATGTTTGATGTAATTCCTTTGTAGGCTATGACACATTGCTTCATTTGGGCCAAAATACTTTAAATCTGGCAAGTCCTGCTAACTATTTCTCCCTAAAACACTCTGAGTTATTGGACTTCTTCCTAAATGATGGAAAGCTCATACAAAAATACTTTTCAGTATATGTTTCTTGTCCCTTTCATGGCTGTACATGCTATTCCACACTTTATGACTTTGTCAGTGTTATGCCTCTGTGCACTGGTCTCAGCACGAGTAGGAGGGGTGTATGTGTGTGTGAAATGTATAAGAGAGGAAAGAAGAGAATATGGTGAATGTTTTACCAGGTCATTAATCAGTTGAAGGGTTCAGACGAATATCATAAATCTTGACACCAAAGTTCAAGCCATTTATTATAGCATCTGTACCCTTAGATAGATTTATTAAATTGGTAACCCCTTTTTAATAATATATAGTAAAGATTTAGCATTGTTATGAAGATGAGAAAACCATTTTTAAAAATCTCTGACACACGGACATTTCAATTATGTGTTTGCTGACATTAGAGTGGTCGATCTATGATATTCTATCAAGAGAGGGGTGTTAGGATTACTGGCACTTTATTGCTTTTTAGGAACTAAGTAAATCATTTCTGTATCAAGGACCTCAAGCACTAAGGGTGCTGGCCCCAGCAGACTTCCATTTTCCATTCCTAATATACCCCATTCTGTGAATCTCAACCACAACAGATACTGCTAGCAAAAAGGGAAAAAAGAATCAAAATGAACTCTTTCTGTTTTGAAATCTTGCCCTCTTTTGGGTTATACGAGAGGCCAGCTGTTTCTAGTTATTATCTAAAATCCATGGGGAAGCTCTGCAAAGAGCATATATCTGGCCAAGGACATTCTTTCCCAAATAATATTAGAGAGCCTGAGGCTGCAAGATGGCTCCATCTTGTAAACCCTGTTAACAAAAGTGGGAGTTTGGCTTTGGAAGGATAAAGAGTGTTTGCAGAGAGAACAGATGTTTAAGTGCTACCTTATATTTCTTCTTAAACAGAGAATTTTGATATGAAGAAGAATGAACTAACAAGACAAGGATTTATGGATTTGAATCTCATGGAAGCCAATGACCGTGAAGGGGATCCTAGTGACCTTTGGGTCACTTTATTGTCTCTGGGCTACAATAAAGCATTAGAAATGACAGAGGTATGATAGCCATATAGCAAAAATAACTGCTTCACATACAACTTGCTGCACATGTTTAACTGCAGTACTGTTTCTGTCTGTCATAAAATGATGTCAGTAGGTCAGTGATGCAGTCCAAACACTGTTAATACAGGGTTTACACTATGACTTTCAGTCATTATGGTATCCTGTTTCTTAGGATAACACTGATATTGTTGAAAGAGGAAATTTGCCTTTTGCTTTAGAGAAAGCCTGTATTTTGTGAGGTTGTAGAGGAAGGAATCTGGGGTTATAGCTGTTGAAAGAATTCACACACCTTGCTGGTAGGAAGTGATAAGAAGACAGTGATGGTAAACTCTGACCTGTCAGCAAACCTACAAAATGGAGGACTTGCTCTACTTAGAAAAGTCACTTTCCTGGCCCAAGCTGCAACAGAAGTGGATAAGGAGAAGATAATTTTTTTTGCACATGATTCAGAATTCATAATTTTCAGACATGGCTATTTCTGTTACTGTTGCCTTTCACAACAGTGTCTGAAGGTGTTCAACATAAAATTTTAATGAGAGGGCTTCTGTTGGCACACTATTTACTTTACAGGACCAGGGATTATTTCTCTGATGTTTCTGTGTGCTTATAGATTTTTTTTTTTTTTTTAATTTTTTTTTTTCCAGAAACAGAATTGGTGTTGGTGTTAATAGTTCTCACTAAAGAAAGAGGATATTTTTAATGACTAGAAAAGAAATTATGAAAATCAAGGAAAACATTAAATATGGAGATGATTTCATAATTTAACTTTCATTCCCAAGAAAAGCTGATATTTTAAAAAAAATTTTTATCATAGTCTGATTATATTATTTCTTTAACTTTTGTTAAACTAAATCAGGTCAGTGTATGTGTGTGAAAAAAACATATACAGAACCAAAAATACTCAGTATGGTAGAGACTTCAGTTGTCTCTCAGTGAAAATATTGAGATCACAGTGAATGATTTCTTAACGAGCAGCACTTCTCCTTTTCCTGCAAGTATTGTTAGCAGAACAACTACAAAACTGTCTTTCTGCACCTCAGACGTAAGAGGGAGCTATCCTCTAAGAAAGAAGATTTTGGAGAGGTTTTTATCAAGTTAGAAATTTTGAAAAGGTATTTTGTGCCTTAATACTAGCTGTGGTTTATGGCTATAGTCTTGGTTTCCAAAGGACAACATAGTCCTCTGAATGCTTTAGTCATTCACGTAAAAACGTATATCTACTTAACTTGTGTCTATAACTTAACATTTTAATTTCTTGATTGGAGATGATTTAAGAGGTTGATATTTCAGGAGCATTAAACCTAACAAATTAAAGACAGAACTGAGAAATCCTAGTGGATTCCAAGAGCCATTTGAAAGAAACTGAGGCGCTATTACTGAGTCTAAGAAAATGCAAACTCGTGGTTGTTACATGTACTAATCTTAGCCAAGATACTGTAAGAGCAGAGTGCTTAATGTAACATTGCAGATATTTTAAATCTGTATGAAGTGGCACAAATAGCAAGAGTGTGACAGGTAAAGGAGACAGGTTTATTTCAGACACTGAAATACATTCATATTTCATCTTAATTCCCGAACGTTTTGCTATCCAAGTTGGAGCCAAATGCACCAAGCTACGTATTGAGTGTGCTGTGACTGGCATGAAAAGCGTTCATTTGTCCTGAGCTTTCCTTTGCCACAGCTCTCAGGTTTTGAATATTTAATATTCAGTGGCATACTTGTATTTGGGTAATTCTACTTCAGAGCATATATGAAAAGACTTCAGAGCTGTGGATGAAAATCTGAGGGGAATAACTACAGATAAAGTGATGATAAAACTCTTTTTTTCCATTGCAGGCATGCCCCTTTGTTATTGACATCTATGCAGAAAAATGCAAACCCAGAATTAAAGCCATATATCTAGAGGCAGGGAGCTGGCAACTGAACAGGGCTATATGCAAGTCTGTTGTTAATAAAGGAGAGGCCAAAGTAATGGATGGCTGTGAAAACATAATCATCTATACCTACAAAGCGGGCAGGAGAATCACTTCTGTTATTGAAAATAAGGTATGGCATGAGACTTCTGTAAGGTACTTTGTGTTAATGTCTATTATTATTTTTCTTCTTCCTTCCTTGTGTCATTTTTGAGAATTACATTTTCTGATACTTCTGATAGCAAGTTTCTGTATCTAGTTCATTTAAAAAAAAAAAAGTGCCTGATGCAAAGCTCTTTTTGACATATGACTCGGACTTCAAAAGAGTCTGGATCAGTGTTCTTGGAAGGGACAGCTTAGTATAATGAGGCAAGCAGTTTTAAGTATCATATAGAATCTGAATATTTGTTTGTGTTCACATTCCAATTTTTCAATATTTTGGTAATTATTTGAGACATAATATATTCATAATACCAGAAAATAAATACTAAGAACGGGAAATACAATTACAGAAAGAGCAGAGACTACAGCATTTATGCTATTTAATATTTCCAGTGTGTATAAGAAAGTAAAAGAACAGTGATTTGCATTGATTGTGTTTTAGAAGCATATTATGGATGAATTGTTAACTGGCTAGCTGGTCTACTTTATTACTAATCCAAGTTGACAATTGTAAAGCCAAGCAAAAGTGGTTGGTGAGAAGCCAAGATTTTAAACCTTTTTGCATAGATCCTAATGAGTGTGCTGTTCATTCCCAGTTTCATTTGTATCAGGAACTGTGAGTAAATAAATTCATTGTAGTAAGATGCTAAACTTAAGATGCTTTAAACCTTGAAAGACCACAGCAAGAAGTGTATTTTTAAATGGACAAACATGCAACAGGGGGTGGGTTGGTGGGCTAATATTAGGACTGAA